AAGAACAAATATTAATTTATCAGAAAGATAGATATAAGCCTGTGGACATAAAGGTTATATTTTCTACCCTTGAGATACATTTCCTGCACATAAGTATCATTTCCATCTGATAACCTAGGAGCCTTTGCAGCATCAGTATCAGAGATGGCATATGCCATTTGTACAGAGCCACCTCCAAGATCAACCACTCCAACGGTAGATGGATATTCTTCACCCAAATTCCTAGTAGATAATTGATTGTCACCTGCATAGACATGAAAAAATTCTAAATAATTCCACAACCACAGCTGATAACAAGTTATAATATATCAGCATAAGAAAAAATAATAATGATCCAATCGATGTTACTTGTGAGTCATTCTACCGCAATTTCCATGTAATTTAAAGTGTACATGTCACTTTAAGTAAAGCTCATCGGACATAAGAAAACGCTTTAGCACGTGAGTGCATATTCATTTGAAGACTAAATGTTTGCCACCTTATATATTGTAACTCGTTAATCCTAAACTTTTAACTAGTATTCAAATGAAACGCAAACTAAAATATCTATATAGGCTGGAAATTAGATACTGATAGCTCGATTTATGCGGTCAGATCTTAAACGTGCAGTTCCGCTGCAAGTCAAATAAACAACTCCTAAAAAATTCAGGCAAGACCATATACAATTTCTCTTTTTTAGCATCTCTCTCTTTTCTTTTCGCAGGCAACATCCAATTTCATTAATTATTATTTCCATAATTCTACCATTCAACAAAACAAAAAATTTGCAGTTTTTCACAAATTTTTACTTTTTTATGACAATTGACACTTTGTTGTTCTATACAATAAAATTAATGATCATATTGCATCTGAGATCTATTGATAAATCATATCAACTGCCTCACCAGTGATCTTCCAAGCTTCTTTCTTGTTCTCTACGAAGTGTACCAAAAGAGAAACACTAAAATCAAAATATTAGGTTAACACTTAATCCCAAAATCCCAAAATCAAATCTCATCAAAATCCCTAAATCCCTAAAAATCCTAATTATCAACGCCTAAATTCAATTCAAAACATTAGATTAACACTTAA